ATAGGCTTATTTCCCTAAAAATTTCTATGTTTGTAAAAAAAAAAATTAAAACCTAATTCCGGCCAAAATTACATAACAATTGTATAATGCGAGCCAAAATTTGTAGACCATGGCAGTTAGCTAATTATAATTGAGAATTTGTCGTGGCAAAATTGGTATGACAGCTAAGGTATTTTTATTGTAAGATAAAAGACAGGCATGCTTTATCTAACTATCGTAATTTTTTTGATAATTATAAATATCACGGTTTCAAAATATACTCAATTTCAATAATTTTTTATTTAAGAATTAAATAAAAAAAGAGAATTGCTAATTTTAACTGGTGGTAAAAATACCGGCAGTGTATTTAATAGCGCTATATCTTAAAAATATACTAAGTAAACAGTATTAAGTGCTCTAAGTAAAAATGTTTAGGACTCATAAAATATAATTCTTAATACCCTAACCCTAACCCTAAAAATAAATAAGGACGGTAATTTTACCGGTAGTTAAGTGTAGTTATTTTCATAAAAAAAATACAAAAGTTTAGAATTAAAATAAAAAAATGTACTGTGTTTAATTAAGTAGTTATAGAAAAATATTCAAAATTTAACATGGGCTATTTTGGCTGTTTACATTTTCAAACCAGTCTAATTCTGGTCAAATTTGCAGATCGTGTATAAGTTTTAAACTCATCCAATAGGCCAAATGATCTACAAATTTGACCAGAATTAGATTGGTTTGAAAATGTAGATCGGATCTGCAATATTTTGATTATTTTGATTGGCTGTTTACAGCATGTGACTGACTTTTTTTCGCCATGGCCAAGGAACTCTAATATGTATAACTGTATAATATATAAAAATATAATTATTTGGCACTTGTTTATAAGTTTGAATGAAAAATTGATTAAGAAATTGATCAAGTAATTTATCGGCTATAGCCGGCTACTAGTCGATAGTCGATGATAGCTTACCGATAGCTGACCTAGCTGACCGAACCCATCCCTAGTTATTGCACACCCATACAAGACTGTCAGGCCACCATACCACACTGTTATTTCCAGTATTCTGTAATCCCAAATCCTCACCTAATTTCGTTCCATCATATGATATTACGTATACGTATCTCAGAGTAACATAAATACCAACCCGGTATGTTCACACACGAACTGTAGCGGTGTGTTACACCAACACTGGCACATTAATATGTGAAATCATAGATTTTAACGCCAAATCAAGTTCAAGATTTTATGAACTCGCCATTATAGATGGCAGGAAACCATACACTTCGTGATGCAAGCATACTACGTTCCTGATAAGAATAAAAAATTACAAAAGCAATCTGGGTATCTGATTGGTATTGATCTATTGATCGATTGAGTAGCAATAACTGTAATACAGTCGTCCTCCTCTACAGTCACGTCCTATATAATCAACCTTCTTTATTAGCACAATTTTTTGAAAAATTATTGGCAACATATTTATTTTTTAAAAAAAAGATATAATCTCATTACTATTAAATTTTATAATCACATCTTTTTTACATAAAACAAACAGCGTGATTATAGAGGAGGACGACTGTAGTAACTAGTAATAATCACTAGTCATAATTTACAAATTAAAAAAATAGAAACATACAAAGTATAGGATGGTTATTAAGACAAATGAGAAAAATTTTCTGCGAATACGAAATTAAGAGGAATAGTTTCAACATCTTCAACAATGTAACTTAATCTCCAAGAACCATAACTCTTTGTAGTTATTCTCTGACGAGTTGAACCGGTATAGTTGTGTTGTCCTGGTAGGAAACGTAATGTTACAACTATATCATACACAGGCCATGCCTCAGATAAATCTAATTTTAATTTTCCTGAATGTATTACAGCTATATCATATATATTATAAAATATTATAAATATTGTATACTGTATAAAAATATATTACAAGTTTTAATTAATTTCGTACAAACTTTGACTTACGTATCAAGAAGATATAAATTGATTAATAAACACTTATAGATGGTTACCTTCTTGATGTATATATTAAAGTATATACGAAATTGACGTAAACAAACCAAAAAAAAAAGGCTAACCCATAACGAGATTTGAATCATATGTGTAAATATCAGTTCCCCACGCTTTTTTCCCTCTTGTATTGGTACTTGTAAGCCAATAAAGACTTTGATAACATCGCCAGTTTCACAATTGGGAATATTCGGATAGGTAAAACCATAGTCAACAGAAATGTCACTTGGTGGCAATACAGCAGTAAAGATTACTCGAGGAGGTAAGACAGTTAAATTAATAGCCTTATTTGGAGTCATGGATTTTGTTAAAATATCTTTCCACAATTTAGGTTCAAGGATTCTCTGATATGGAAATACTTTTTCCAAAATATCTTCTTTAGAAATTTGAAAATATCGGATATAGGGTAGACAATTTTTAAGTGTGGTTTTTAAGGTTAAAAAATTTGTATCAGACCATTGCTCAGGATTAGTATTAAGGTTAGAATTTTGAGCGATTCCCCATTTAATAACCTGATCCCAAATATTTCCTTCATCCATTTGCAAATTATCAAGTTTTAAGAAGGAAATCAATGCATTTTCTTGAAGATCTGTGAATATTTCAGAATCAAAAAGAACATTTGGATGCTTAGCGACAATATCATACCAAAATTTTTGCAAAATTTTAAAACTGACGCTTTCAAAACTTAATTTATAAGTTTGAGCAAAATTTCGACGTATCCATGAAGCATGATAATCAACCAAACGAGTTTGAGAAGCATTAACTAATTCTTCAAGACCGAATTCATTAGCAGTGGCAACGAGATTAAGGACTGTAAATGCATCAACTTTGTCAAATAGAATGATACCACTGTAAATGTATCTGTTTAGTTCAAAAAAAAAAAGAAACCGATTAAATTTATATTTGATAGCATTTGGTAATTGCAAAATTTAAAATATGATTATAATACGTAGCTCACTTTATAATAACTTCAAAAACATTAACAGAAACATGTGATACACTGATTTTTTTAATATTATATTTCCTATAATTTGTCATAATTAATTTTTCACGAAGATAAAAACATCGAGAATTCAAAATAATTGAATGTGCTTTAAATATTTTTTGATTTGGTTTCTGACCGACTTCAATTAATACGTTGTAATCATCACCATTTTCAAGAAGATTTGTTAAGTCACAAGAAAGTTTTTTAAAAAATTTTATAGCCATTGGCACAATGAAGTTATAAAGTTGCAATAAAATAGATGACAAAAACAGTCAATGCAAAATTTAAAAACCTCAAATACTTATACGTAGTGTATGGTTTACAAGCAACTAACTGGTTGTATGCAAAATCTTCTAATTTAACATACTGCATACCAAAAACATAGCGAATCAGGAACATAGTATATACTTTACAACCAGTATGAAATCTTGTATTTTATCGACTGCATATTCAAATTATGGGTTTATCGTTATTACACAATATCGTTATCATTATACATAGTAATATGATTTTTCCTATCTGGCAAGTGATAAACAAAAGCCTGGTTTTTCTTGGCACGGCACATATCTGATATACGTATACTGTATATGTATAGCTTAAATAAACTACGCCTCGAAAAGCATAGCACACATGTGATATATTATTATTTGGAATGCATCTGGCTAGTATCGTCATATACATGTATTAAGCTTTATGAAATTTTCATTGAGAATGAGTAGCATACATCAGTGCAATTGATGTTAAACCGAGACGGGATACTATATGCACCCAGGAATGGCAACATAATTACGCCGAGTATCGTCGTCATCGGTTGAATTCGCGATGCGTAGCATCAGCCACACTGCGTAAAGCATGCCGGCTATGATAAGAAGCTTAAACTACCACAAATGGCAGGTTATACGTGGATTATATTTGGCGGGAGGGTTTGGGTGATAATTTTATTTTTAGCAGATGGCTGCGAGTCTTCTCGTAACGTTCGTTTGCCCTGACAATGAAGTTATTATTAGTATTCTAAATTAGGTAGCTAATTCAATTCTATTTATCTGACTTCATGTGCCTCTCCCACGAGGTTAGCCTATCTGTATTCCCGATTAGGATTAAAGCCTAATTCTGGCTCAGAGTTTGGAACCAGTTTTATTTAAAATCATTGATCGGTTTTAACTTACGTACGTACTGTACGTCAAACTTGAATGAATTTTTATATGGGGAGTTACGTATTAAAGGAGCCATATCGATATAGATACACTTTTAAATGATCTTTAATCTACGTACTGTACGCACGCATTTTTTATTATATGATTGCTTTTGCAACTTTTGAAAAATTGTTAAAATGTGACTTTTAATACGTAACACACCACACCATATTACGATGTAACAGAATCATCTACTCTTGATTATCATTGATCTTATATAATGAATTAAAAAAATATTGAAGTGATTATTCGCAACAGTATATATGCAAATGGTTGATTCGAACTTAAGGATTTAATATAATCGAATATTTTTCTCTTAAAGTAATTAAGAGTTTCTTGATAAGGTATTTTTTTTAATTTCTTGTAACTTGGAATTTTTAAATAAATTTTTCTTAATATTTATATTGAAATCGGATATGAAAATCCTTTTAAAATATTATATATTCTTATTTTAGAGTTATTAAAAGGGCTCTTTATGTCAAAATATACCAAAAATCTAGCCAGATACGGATCTATTGAACACTCGCTTATTTATTTATTTAAATGATATCGACGACAAATATGAATTTATCTCTTTATTCAAAATATGCCTTTGCGCGAAAATTCTAAAAATAAAACTTCTAAGACTTGTATTTCATTTTCCCTTCACATCTCTAATTTATACCCTAGATTGGAGGTATTACCCGGGTCGGAAAATAACGACCCGGGTTACGACCCGGGTCAACGGGTCATATGATGTGTGTCCGTCGTAGCATATCTAAACATACCAACAAATATTTAAATCAGATCTTTTCGGAGTTTGCGCCATCTGCGCGTTATTTGGATACGTCCATGTGCATCATTTCGAAATAAGAGTTGTTTTTTTTTTTTGAATCCAATACCGTCAATCTTTGGGGTCATCTAAAGCGGAGCAGAATCATGTGAAATATGGCTAATCAAATTATAGAATTTGATAATCCTCGGAGAAGCAAGAAATAAAAGCGAAAACCAGAAAATACAAAAAACGCCAGTCTAAACCTACCTTGGATGAGTTAGTTAAATATGTCGGGAAGGCAATTTTGCTTATATATAATTGGTTTAAACCTAATCTATCCCTAATATAAGATGATTCTAATCCT